CGCGGACTGAAACGTGTTTGTAATAGAGCAATATGATTCCTCCCTCGTACCCCCCATCCATCCCACCCCCCTCAGCCCCGTCCCCTAAAGATAGCACTACCCTGCCTGATAAGATAGGCGGCAGCAAGAGGTTTGCTTTCTGCTTTGGCACTGTGGATACGTTTTTCTTCACGTAGGCAGAGAACAGGAAATCGTCGAGTTCCGGTAACTTTCCATTCCTCGCTTTGAGTCCATTGGAAATTGGTTTAGCTCTCCCTCTATCCCTCTCTCCCGCTCCCCCCCCCTACCCGCTTTATATTTAATTCTCCCTGTCCTTGCCTTTTCTCCTTCCCGTACCCTCCCCCCCTTCTTCGCCTCCTCCCTCTTGTCTCTTTCCTCTTTCCCTTCTCCCTTGTTCCCTTTCTCTGCTCAATCTCTCACTTTCTGTGCGTCTTAGCCACTCCATGTTAAAGATATTGCAACAATGCAATGCATACAAACTCTCTCCTTCTCTCTCTCTCCGTCCCTCTCTATCACACTCTCTTTCCCCTTCTTCCCATTCATTCTCTCTCTCTCTCTCACACACTCTCCCTCTCTTTCTTCCTATTCTCTCCCTCTCTCTCTCTCTCTCACACAGTCTCTCTCTCTCCTTTTCCCCATCCCCCCCTCTCTGTCTTTATCTCTCACACAGTCTCTCTCTCCTCCCCATTCCCACTCTCTCTCTCTCTCACACACATTCTCTCTCTTTCATTCTCACCCTCTCTCTCTCTTATTCTCACACTCCTCTCTCTCTCTATCTATCTATCTCTCTCTTCCTATCGATCACCCGCTCTCATACTCTCCTTCCTATTCTCTTATCTCTCTCTGACTCTCCCTGTCTCTGTCTCTCTCTCTCTTCCTCTCCCACATCCTCACACTCTCCTCCTCATTCTCCCTCCCCCCCCTTCCCCCCCTCTCTCTATCGACCAACCACTCCAAATCCAAATCGTTGCACAGAGGATAGACATCATTTATAGCTACACACACAAACGCACGCACAAACTTCAATCCATCTACACCATACACACATACGCACAACCAAAAACGATATAGGGAAATAACCACTAATACCATAAACCACTGACACATACACATACACTCGCACGCACAACCACACGGGCACATAACGCCACGAAGAGAGGACAGTGATTTGTACATCAGTGATGAACGGTTCGGCGGAGGCATCTTCTCTCACTCGGCCAACTGATCATTCCCTGCCAGAGCGAACGCGAGGCACTGCGGGGGACGGGGATGATAACAGCCTCTCCTTATCATAAAGGCGGGAATTTCCGTTATGAAAAGGCTTTTTTTTCATTTTTTTTAAATTATTTTTTCTTTTTTTTTCTTCATTATTATCATTTCTTAATTTACTCTTTTTCTTTGGGAAAAATGAAAACGTTAAGATGTAATATAACTCCTTGGAAAATATGGAACACCTAATTCCATGAAATAAGATACTGCATACACGAGGCACGGAGGCGGAGACGGGGAGGGCATGAGCATCACCTCGTCAGAAAAGCTGGAATTTCCGTTTATTTATCTATCTGTTTTTTAGATGGATATTTGTACAAACTGACTCAGTCTCTGAAAATGAAGACGCGAAGATGTAATAAAATCAATTAGAAAATATAGATGGTTGTTATTGTCGTTAATTACGACTTAGAAAACAAGGAAGCTGACAAATGACGCAACGCTTAATTCCATGAAACAAGATACTGCATGCTCATCCTACTCAGCCGGAAACGCGCGGATATCTTGTTGGGCCAAAAACACACTCATGCGCATTTTCTTTTTCATTCGACCACAGTATTCCATCGCGTGTTGAAAATTAGTTTCAAACTGAACATAGAAAAACAAAGGAAAAAGTGGCCCAAAATCGCCAGTCCGTTGAAGTGACTTTTCCCTCCGGGCCTACACTTTCACCTCGACACTGGAAGCTGTACACATAAACCTAAACATGAACACAAATACATATTTCTCAACGTGTGGCCAACGTGTGCGAGCGCGTGCACACACATGCGTGCCCACCTTAACGATCCCGATTCGAAAGGCTTTAAGCGACTTTCCCGCCTTCCGCCACTGCTGGCCGCGGCGCCAACTGGTTCCGCTGCTTCGTTCTGATAACCGCTGAGGCCAGGAACCAGCTGGAAGGTTGCGAAGGGCGGATCGATAGGCACAAACGCCCTCTCGCAATTCCTTGTTCGGAAGGCCATTTCACGATTCATGTCGCCGGTCCCGATAACGCCCAGGCAGTGGCGCTACGGTAAATAAAAGGCTTAGAAGCAAGGCGAAGGTGTGAGGGAGGCAGGAAGGAGAAGGAAAGACGGGGGGGGGGAGAACGGGAGGGAATGAGAGGAAGAGGGAGGGAGGGAGGAGGAAGGAAAGACGGGGGGGGGGGGAGAAGAACGGAAGGGAATGAGAGGAAGAAGCAAGGAGAGGGAGAAGGAGAGAGAGGGTAGGAAGGGGAAGGGTAGGCGGAGAGGGGGAGGGGTAAAGAGGGAGGGAAGGAGGAAGAAGGGAAGAAGGGAGAGGGAGGGAGGGAGGGAGTGAGTCAGAGAGAGAAAGAGTGTCAGAGATATAGAGACAGATAAATAGATGTATAGATAAATAGATAAATAGAGAGAGAGAGAGAGAGAGAGAGAGAGAGAGAGAGAGAGAGAGAGAGAGAGAGAGAGAGAGAGAGAGAGAGAGAGAGAGAGAGAGAGAGAGAGGGGGGGGGGAGAAGAGAAAGATAAATGGCTTCAATATATACAAACTCACATACATCTACATATAATATATAAATGCATACATACAAACAAACAAACATACATACATACATACATACACACACACATATATATGTATATATATATATATATATATATATATATATATATATATATATATATATATATATATATATATATATATATATATATATATATATATATATATATATATATATGTATATATATGTATGTATATGTATGTATATGTATATGTATATATATATATATATATATATATATATATATATATATATATATATATATATATATATATATATATATATACATGTTGAAGGAAATTGATATAAGAACATAGAATCTATATCATTGCAGGATTCACTGGTTTTATAAGTAAAAATCACGATATTTGTTAACAACAGCGCTGCGCAGACACGTATCCATACAGAAATCCACGTATACACACGAACGGCCGCGGCGCCATCACGCAAGCACGACACAAGCGCGAAGAGAAATGTGCATGCCTTACTGCGTATACAGAGAAAAAGTCATAAACATTCAGGAGGTGCTCTTGCACAGTGCAGCGGTAAAGATAAAATTCAAAGGAAGCAATAACTCCCGGAATGACAATAAGAAAGCGCGCCGGCCTCCAAGTATAGTTCCTGCAACAACTCAGTTCCGTTCAGATTTCCTGCACATCACAGCCCTTATTTTGAATCCACACGTCTATGCACTCCGCGTAGATGCCTGGAGCCATCTCACCAGGGCCGTGACACCCTGTGGAAACGAGGAGGAAACATGGAAGTTGCGAGAGACTGCAATACAACACGCGCGTCGCTGTCCGAGAACACGGGCTTGAATCGATGTTGCGAAACAGGGGTGATAACGCTCACACCTGGCTGGGGCGCCGAGCAAGTGGGGCTTCTGCCTCGATATCTCAATCTTTACTTGCATTGTAATCGTATATATAAAATAACAGTATTGGTAAATATATGTTTACATATACTGATAAAAAACATAATCATAATTTCAATGATAATGACGATAATATTTTACAGATGCATCTGCCAATATCGAGAAGAGAGAAATAGCGGCATATTATGAATATTCATCTATCTTGTGTAGAAGTTGAATAATTAATAACACTATCGGGAAAGTAAAGCCCGTGGACCTCTTTGAAGTTGCATTTTTGTTGAGTCACTGTGAGTTGCGCTTCCCCATTGCCAATGTGTTATCAAGTCACGTATACTGAAAGACTTAGCTGCACTAGATCTTAGATAACCGATATGACATTATCCCTGCGCCCGGACCAGACGAAGGAGAGGCCGAAGGGAGCTGGGCACCGCAAGGAGGACTGCTTGGGATACTCATGGCCATTACATTATCACCTAATGTACTTTCATTACAACCTTCTGCAATACGAGTTGCATACGTACAGCTTTCTCTGATTCATACGTGTTTCTATTCTCATCAATATGGATATTCATATTCTTCATCATACATCATATTCACTACTCGAACTAGATGAGGCCATTAACTCATGAAGCTGAAAATTACTATGAAATTAGGCAACTGCATACAATGATCACGACTAGCTTGCACAACCATGTTTTGGATTACCACGGAGCCCGCGTTTCGTCATTTTCACACTGGTTGTTACTCATTCTGATGATTTCTACGTCGTAATTTCTTGCAAGTCGAATTATTCTTCATATAAGTAACGAAAATGATATTTATTAGGCCCGTTTTCCGATATATATTGCTTATTAAATATTAATTTGACTGAAATGTGGTGTATTTTGCGGAATATGATGAGGGTAAAACGTTAATGCAACACTTCGCCCAACCTTTTATCTTTGGCAATGGGCAATGTTACAGCCAAAGGCCTCCGACGGAATACGGATCAACACATTCTAAAGACGTCACTGCATATCTATTTACCTATATTCAAACACACAACACACACACACACACACACACACACACACACACACACACACACACACACACATATATAATATATATATATATATATATATATATATATATATATATTATATATATATATATATATATTTTTTTTCTTTTCTTTTTTTTTTTATTATATATTTTTTTCTGTTTTTCGCGGGGGTTATGTTCCAAAAAGAACCCGTAATAGGCGAAATCCGTGAAGTAGTAACCTTTATTTTTTTACAATTATTATATAATGAAATACTCTACAATACATTGAAACCAAAGAACAAAACCTTTTTA